AATAGCAATGGCCTCCAACCAAATAGCTTCTATAGCTACTAGTAGCTTCTACTAATAGCAATGGCTTCCAACCTAATTAGCTGATAGCTGGGTGTGTCTCCCCGGCTTCGGTCACGACCCCCCAAATCGCTTCGGGAAATCGGTTGAGTACGGTCAGCCCGATGTCCCGAATTCAAATACACCGAGCTCAGGTGTGTCTATTCCCCTCTGGCCCCTATCTCCCTGTGTCCCTTTATCCAGGTCGTGGAAACCAAGGATCACCTTCGCCCTGCCATCGCATCGCAGAACCATTCATTCATCTGCACGGCACGCTCAGCGGATTCCGAGAGCGGGGAAAGCGCGGATTCCGAGGTTTCACGATCTCTTCTTCAAATCAGGGACCTGGAGCTTTCCGCAGGACCGCATCGTCCACATGGCACATGGAGTGATAGGGAGTGGTTGAAATACTTGAGGGCATCATGGTCCATCATGGTCAGTGTAGTTGAATGTAGCCCTAGATTCCAGTCCACCAATTTTACAGGGTAGGTTGGTGCATGTGATCCTTTGCAGTGCAATAAGCTCCAAGTTCAAATGGAGTTTTTGGTTTTCATACTGATGGACTGGCACCAAGATCAGCCGCTCGGGAGGATGAGATTTGAGCACGCGACATCGAGCGAACTTTGGGACCTGAAGATTGCAAGCTGATGCAAGCTGCAGTATGTTGTAGCAGTGCCATTGGAATCATTCTGTGCCGCATTGGAACTCGAATCCGAGTTCGGATCTGTTTGCCTCCATGGCACGGTCGAAGAAACCGTACCCCGAAAGGGATGGGGCACCACGGAAGACCGACGTCAGGGCAGAGTTCCAACGACCGCGTCTCGAAGTTGGATCCCTGGAATGGAGTATTCGGGGAACAAAGACCCAAGTACCATCAACTTGCTCCACACCCTGTACGCTCTTGGAGACAGAGCTGTTTGAATTCCGGCAACTTGACCTTCAGCCCATCCTGAACTGGCACACCAATCCATGAATCCATATCAGGCTCACTTCGGACCTTGTCGGTCGAACACCGATCTGTCGCACCGGTGACTGGGCCTGAAGGACTCGACCTTGCTGCGGCTGTACCCGAAGCAGTTTTGGGTCGACGCGACCTTTGCAGCATCGGGGAAAGCATTCATCGGTGGGGCCGTGGTGGTGGGGCAATTCTTTGGTTGTGGGCCAATCATGGTCCAATCCAATTTTGTTTTGGAATGATTCTGTTTGAGCTTGACATGAGTGAACATTGAAGCAATTCGCAAAACTAGAACCATCCATTGCTCCTTTAAGGTCAGTGGTTTGGCCTTGTTGTCAGCCACCTTCCTGCTTCTACTGGCGCGCAGCGCACGTCTACGCGCCTTGCGGTCCAAGCGCGATGAGCACACGGAGCTCTGAGTGGAAAGAGCGGGATGGGTGACTTGAATTGCTTGGTGATGAAAGGACCGTTCTTGGCGCTTTGGAGCGATTATACTCTGCTTTTCATCCATTTTCGAAGTTCCATCTGATGTGTTTCCAAGTGTGTCCACAACTCCCATCTCATCATGCATGTACCATCAAAATCAAGATCAGCCGAGGGTAGCTTGGCTTATCTATTTGAATTGAATTCCATCCGGGGGTAGCATATTGGAACTGACCAAGATCCAGCATGGACGATCGGTCCATGATAGACGATGGTCCAAATACCTCGAATTCGTTACCGGGGCGTCAGCGTTACCGGGGTCGTTCGACTTCGTTCCTTGGCCTAACTGGTTGCGCCGGCTTCACTGCCCTGTCCAGAACCCTGGACCGATCCGATCCATGACCGCGACCTTGGACTCCAGTCCGGAGGGGTCCGGAGCTTCCAACAAACCCGAATTCCAATCCTTTCCATCGGTTCTGGCCATGGATCCTTAAGGTGAAAGAGTGCATGTTGGTCAACGCAGTGCAAGTCGATGAGAGGTCAAGGAGTCAAGGATGCTCCACGCACGCAGGTCAGTGCTCGGTGCTGCTACCTGAAGAGCAAGCAGGTCCAAGTCAGGCGGTGGGACCGAAAGAACAGGACGAACTGCCTGGAACTTGAGTCCTAAAGGAAGCTCTAAGAGGATGTTTTCCAGAGTGTGTTGGGGTATGCGAAGGGTGACTGGGGATCCCCAGTCAAATGGTGGTTTCTTCCAGGTGCAACAAAACAAAGTGCTGCCCAGCTGACCAGCCGTGTTTGCTATACGGAGAGCATTGAACCCTTGCTGGGGAATTGGGAGGAAGAAATGGGAGCCCTCTGAGGTCTCTGCATGTCTCCCCACCCCAGGAGCTGGTCTACCAGGTGACTAGGAGCGTGACCAATAAGCGTGGCCATCCCCAGCTGACCTAAGCCGCGGCTTAGGTCTAGTAGGTCTAGTGAAGCCCAGTCCAAGCGAAGTCAGAGATAATTCAGTCGATACTTCCACTCTTCAGGACTTGGGAGTTTTTGGGGTGAGTTCTTCTGCGCCTGGACCCGTTTGGACCTGTAACTTAGGAAAATGGATGACAAATGGGACATGAGGCCTGTTGAAAGGGTACAAGACAAGACTATCCATTTTTCTATGTACGATTGGGTTGCACATGGAATCATGTAATTAAAGGCACATGGCTTTTGGTGTCACCTGTAGATGACCATTTGGAGGAGTGAATCCCTTGGCATGTTTTCTGGCTTTTCTTTTCCTGATTCCTTCAGAAGGCTCCAATAGAGTCCAGCTGAGCCCGACGCATGCGCATCACCTTTGGTCCCCATGTTCTTCCTGCGGAGAAAACGCGCAGGGGTCTCCAACGGCAACAATCACCCTTATTCGTCACATGTTTTTTGGTTGAGGAAAGCAATCAAGATCGGTTTTAGTCCAGATGATGGATGCTCATGGAATATCGACATCCGCAAGTGGGTTTTTGTTGCCCAGGTCCTCTTTGGCTTGTTTGGGCAACCAGAGTGGGGCGCTCGGAGAAAAAATCACACCGGTAGAAGAACCAGAAGTACAAAGTTACTGGAAGCCAGGGCAGCAGTCGCATAGCTCAGTGACATGAGATATCGAGTAATTACCTGTTTCTCATGACAAACTGTCATCCAACGGAGCAGTCAAGCAATACTTGCCAGACTTTCCTGAGGCTTCCTATTCCTCGTCTCCTTCTATTGTTTTTAGGCTGCCCTTACTTAATGAGTACTGTAGGAATGGTCTCATCTCCTCCTCTCCTTTATGTCTCCGCGGCGCGATTTGCACCGGTAGAGCGGCGTTATGCATCGTTGGTGCACGGGCTTTTTTTTGCGGTCAGCGGTCGCGGTCGTTGGTGCAGCGGGCGCCGAGGTTGGGGATGGACGAAGAGCTCTTGAAACGCATCCGGGCGCCCTGGTCTTCACCGTGTCGGGTCGGCCCCGGAGTCGATACACCGGTCAGGTGCTGGAAGACAGTATGGTCACGTCGACACATGGGACTGGAAGAGGCATACTGGTGACCATGGATGGGTCATCAATGGGCCGGAGGAAATGTGTAAATGTATATATAACTAACATTATATAACATTATGGATGGTTTGGGATGTAATAGAATTCTGCTCTGGCATCGAGTTGGAGCACAGCTCGCGATGTGCATCAAACACTTGGATTGCTGTAGAGATCTCAACGTCCCGCCTCCCGTCTTTGCTTTGGAATAAAGCGGGCAGGCAACCCTGGCAGTCCTTGGGACACAGCTGATGGTTTCCCTTACAACATCCTGAAACCCGGTAAACCGGAAAACATGTTGCATTATGTTGCATTCAATGGGGAAGTGCCTGGCAAAAAAAAGAACACTGACCATTCCGACCCGAGGCAAAGTCTGGGAAGAGACTCTCCGTGCTGTTCTCAGAGTGGGTTCATGGGCTAAGGAAGACTCTGGGATCAGCAGCCCTGGAAAGTTCCCAATTCCATTTTTACAGTGCTTTCAGAGTAGATTGCACAACCCAAACATGTTTAATGGGGTTCCATATGTCATATGAACCACCCAAACTTGGAAAGGTGTTTTATCTACTCTCCATCCTCTTTAGCTCTTAGGATGCTCGGATGGGCTTCACTAAATCTGATAGCCTTGGTGTTTGGAGTGATGATCTACGAGTGCACGGGATTTGATGAGCTACCTGACGACCTGGAGAATCCATGGAATTGGAGCCCGCATCTTTTGTTTCGATGGCGAGCAGCTGTGCGATGACCTCTCGCTCTCACCGCTGGGCTCACCGCTGTGCGATGACCGCCTTCTTTCTAAAGAATGTTGTTCTTTACCTTTTTGCCCACTTTTTTGCCCAAAAGGGTCAGGTGATGGAGTGTTTGCACCAGTTATATATACAGAGGATTCCAAACCACTTGCACTACCATTGAAATGAACGAACAGCGAGATAGACTCCGAGGAAAACTGACATGGAAGTGGAAAGCCACCTGTTTGAAAATGGTCATCCAAGGGGCTTGTGAGTCAGAGTCGTAGAGAAGGTGACCAATGCCAATGACCAAATCATACCCTAAGAACCTTCCAAGGGGTCGAAGTCTTGGAGGGTCTCCCTATTTGAGCTACGCAAATTCGACATATGAAAGACCAATTCCATGGAACACCCGCATGAGTGGAAGCAAGTGCAAGTGCGCGATGAAGGTGGCAACACATGCGCCCATTCTAGGGACTCGTTTGCTTGGAAACGGTTATGGTCTATTTTTGGATTACCTTGTTCTTGCTTCACAGTCCCATCCAACGTCAGTACAGCTCACACTATCAGAGTCCAGTTGTATACATGTGCTGCTTCCCATTCTCAAGACATAAACAATCATTGTGTTGTTTGCAACATCATTGTTTGCACTTGGGATGGTACACACACACACACACTCTCGTTCACTACCTGATGTAGGTAGTGCATTGCCAAGGCACCGGGCGAGTCGATCAAGAACACGTTTCAAGGATTGCATAGCACATGGGAACCATGTTACTTGGTGACACGTGTGAGGCTTCTGGAATTTCTGGAAGCGAAAGAGAAGCATCTCCGGGATGGCAGATGGTGGGGTGAAGAAAACCCATTCGCAACAACTGCTCTAAACAAGTAAATCTGCGTACTACCATGCCAGTAATTTTCCCCCCGTAAAGGTGTTTTCCTCCCAATTTGTTCCTGGCTGGGACCATTCTTTATGTTGCGGTTCGGCTTCCTCGACAGATGAATTGGTGAGGTGAAGGGGTACCTGAAAGCCTTGCGGCACATCTTCATCAAGAGCAGCGCTTCATGCTTGGTCGCTGATCGGCGCTTCACTTGCGGAGTGACAAGGGCTCGGGTTCGGTAGCTGATGGGGAGAGGGATCTCATCCAGCCGGCAGGCTTGCAGGTGAAAACCTGAGCTGGGAAGTAGGTGAAACTGCGGTGACCTCCTGCGATACAGTTTGCTAAAGCTACTGGACATCTTGGGGGTTCATTCAGGACATTGGGAGATCAACTCACTTTTGCCACCAACAGAGGGCACTGTTTATGGGGGAAGGAAGAGCGTGTTCCAAGCTCATCTATCTGACATTCTTGAGTCCGTTTTTGGGTTCTATGTTTGTTTAGTGTTGCTGCTTCTATCAATCCAATGTTCCCAATCATGTTTTTCTTTGTCATCAACCTGTGCTTCTCATAAAAGCAATCAGCCTGTGATTGCTGATGCAAGCTCCCGCTGGAGATGACCGTGATGATTTTGGGATTCATGCGAGTCTTGACACGTCGTTGCGAAGGTCACGATGCTTTGGTGTGTTTTTCATATCACAAGAGCTCGAGACCACAAGAGGTACCTCGCAACCTGATGGTTTTGCGATGGTTTGCGAAGGTCATGACATGTCATGACGCTTCGTCATTTTGATATCACAAGTCGTTTGTAGCTCGAGAGGTATCTGAATGAAGCTCTTGACCGTGTGGTAGTTTGACCGTGTGGTAGTCCCCACACACCAGACCTGATGCTAATTTGCCATTTAGGAAACCATGGAATTTCCTGACGATAGCCTATACATGTCTATACTATCACAGGCTTCGCCAACCGGCCCCGTGGGGGGACGGTGCGTATCTGTGGAAGCATTATTTTTCATCCTTGTCTTGGAGGTTTTATCTTTTGTGTACCTTGTTCGCTCTTACAGGGCAGAATCTCCAAAAAAATGCAAAAAAGTGTAACTTCCACCCAGCCCCCCCTTCAACGTCTGCTGCGAATTGACATATCAGGACTTTGCAGTGGAAAACGCAGAAGGACAAACAACACTGTATTTGTTGAACATTTTCTAGCCTAAAGTTATCAGGATTTAGGCTAAGAAATACTCAAGAATGCAGTTTGTTCAGCGTTTTTCACTACAAAGTCCTAATATTTGGAGAAACCATGTAGGCCCAGGTGGTGCTAGAAATGTCGGCCGCAAACCGACATTTTCAACATGACCAGGATGTATGTGTTTTGTCAACAATTTAAAAATGGCTACTGTAAAACTTTATCTCTAGAGAAGAAAGTATACAAAGGGGAGAAAAAGTGTTGAGTATGTCGAGCACCCTTGGCATCACCAGAATATGGGCAGGATTGTTCATAAACTACATACATGTTGCAAACACACTGTAATTTACAGTGTTTTGCGCCTACTCATACACCAAATGATTTGCATCTTTCCTGCTGAGACTCTGCTGATGCTAATGATGCTCGACCAATTTCTTCCCTCTAAGCTTGTATCAATGTTCAATGCTCTATTTTCTAGAGGTTTTGAAGCTATATAAGATGTCCAGTGGCAATGTGTGATCAATTGCCTTGTGCTTTACGTTTTTTGACGAATCCACATGAGCCCTGGTGATGCTAGAAAAGCAGAAGCTCTACACCAGAGGCAAAGCGCAGCCCAAAAAGCGGAGGTAGCGCCACATCTTTTCTCTAATTCTCCCCCGAAAGGGCGCGGACAGGGTGCCTAACAGCTTCGAAGCCCTAATCAAAAAAGCTTGAGCAGCCCGAGGCAGAGCAGGTAGGAGCTCTACACCAGAGGCAAAGCGAAGCCAAAAAGCGGAGGCACCGCCACGGCTTCCCCCCATCGCAAGGCTGAGGCGGAGAGTACGAGCTCTTTAATGACAATGCCCAGAGGGGCCAGAGCAGGCAGGTGGCAATCGCTTCTCGCTACGCTGTCCCAGGCGCCGCCCTGCCAGGCGTCAGCTAGGCAGGGGTCGGCGGATTGTAACATAAAGTTAGCTCAGTAGTTAGCTCTATACCAGGAGATGTTGGGGGGATATTTGATCCCATCCAGTAAGTGAAGGATGGGCCCCCACATGCGGCTCTACCCTTCAATATCCCTGATGGTACATCACATGCGTGGCCGATCTGTCGTTCGACAAAAATCGCGGGGCTCGCCGTTGCACCCCGGCGCGTTCTGAGCACTTCAGGCCATGAATGCCGGGGAACTCAGACTTGCCATCTCCCTCCGACGTGCCGAGGGAGAAGACTCTCGCGAAGAGCGAAAACTCGGCGACCTTTTGGGAGGAGAAACCTGCGCTGGGATCGGTTGGGAGGTTCACCATCGCTGGGAGGTTCACCATAAACAGCACATGACGAAAACATGAATCAGAGGATTTGGGAGCTGTCAGCTGTCAGTTGCTTCGGGTGTTGAGTTCCTTGTGCAGTAGGGAGGGAACATCGGATTATTGCAACAAAACAAGCCACCTCAAAGCGAGGAGGGGAGCGATGCCTTGGCAGGCTTTTGAAGAATTGGCAGGAGTCGTTCAAGACGTTTGATTCAAGGGCCCAATAGAATCTCAGAAGAAGATGGCCATCATGATGAGCCTGTTTCTCGGTAGACTGGCGGCCCCTGAATCTTGTTTGTGGGACTTTCGACCATCCCTCGACACTGAGACTAAGAAGGATCGAAAAGAAATGGAATTACGCAGACTGGTCATCGTTTGTGGTGAGTCAGTTGCACCCTGAAACCTGCCGTTGAATCCAAGACGACAAGTTTTCCTCTACAAATCCTGGCAATCCCCAAAAGGAGGTACCTGGGTTCATCTTTGGACCCTACATGCCTGAGAACCATGGACCCTATACATGCCATGGCACCCGCTAGCTAGACGGTTTTTACGCGAGCTGCACTGGTTTTCAGGGTCGGGGTCGTCCAAGCGGTGGAGTCGCCTCGCCGCTCTTTGGTCGTGTTTGACGTCAATGGGACCCTGGAAAAAACGCTCATCCTCACATCTCCAAACGACCTATACATACCTATACCAACCCTAATTCGAAGGGAAGATTTGAACATACAACTATATATATATACATACCTATATACTAAATACATACCTATCTGATGAATTCTTACACATTTGTCAAATCTTCAGGGAAGATCTAAACCCGATCCGCTCCCGCCGTCGCTTCCCTCAGCGCCGAGGTCTTCGCGCTCGACGAGTTCCGAGCCGAGGCGCCCGGCTGTCCGGACGGACCGGTCCATGCCACCTCGGTCGGACCGGTCGCAAAGCCCGGTTGAACCGCGCCGTTTCTGCAAATCCTGGTGTTGTTGTCTTTTTTAACGTAGAAACCCATGTATACATCAACCCCATCCCTGCCGGCAGCAACGGGGATGGTCGTTTTTTTGTTTCACTCGAAGGTGATTATAGATAGCTTTCTCGTGTTTTGCGTTCTTTTTGTGTTCCCACAGTGTTTCATGGAATACAGCACTCCAATAGCCTTCACTCATCCGCATACATTCATGTGTTCATTATTTTTGAGTGGGTTACACGGTGAGTGACTCGGCATGTGATTGAACGTACGTGGACGCAGTTTGTCAGTGAGCACTTGAAGACAGACAGATCGACAGACCGACTGAAGAAGGGTTATACCGCGTTTTGTGTTGTTAGTAACTTCTGGATTTTACTTGAATCCGCTTGCGCACATCGTGTTTTGTTTCATTTACATTGGTGAGTAGGAAGCATTACATGTCCTGTGAACCATGTCTGGTTTGACTTGCCTCACTTGTTTCTATTTCTTAGCCTCTTGGTTTGTCGTGCGTCCTCACGCGCAGGGCTATGGCGATTGGGGTCCGGGCTCCGAGGGCGTGCTGCTTGGTGTGCCACCGTGGTGGACAAGGAAATTAGGGTGCTGCGGGTGCGCATCTCACACAATATCCATCAAACCAGTCCATGACTCAAGCCTCAAGAGACAGAAGCCTTACTTATCACTACATATTCCTGTGCGTTGTTTTGGCATGGGCACCATTCGGACAGTGCGTTCTGCATTCTGACTTCTAGGTGGGCTATAAAATGTCGAAGTTGGATATGGTGTTACAATTGAAAGGTTTGCCATTTCCCACGTCTGGGAAAGACATTCGTCGCGGCTCAAAGCGGAAGAACTATATCGACATCATTACCACGGACTCCGCAGTGTCACTGGTGATCAAGGACAGGCACTGCCAGCTGGCTCCGTAAAAGCTGTTCTTCCCGGTTTTGTTGCGGCCATCCGTTTTAGCGATGAAAGCCAACAGCTTAAGCTGAACCAACTAATGCTGCCGACAGGAGCAAGAAAGTGCGCGCGGACAAAAGCAGCTGCAGCGGGTGTGTGACCAGCCAAGCCATGTATACCCCAGAAAGCGTGAGGGAAATCTATACCTGACTAGGCTCCGTAACTGCCCTTGCCGGCTTGAATAGTGATTTTCAGGTGGAGCAAGAAGCTTGGAACATGTGACAGGCCATCAGCAAAAAATCAGCAAAACATGACTCTCAGTTACACTGGCAGGGTTGGCTCACTTCAAGAGCAGGGAACTTGCGCCCAAAGAAAGACTGGGGTCCTGTGAAAGTTATTGCGCCCAAGCCCACATTTAAAAATGTTTGTTTAGAAGCAGGCAAAAGTTGGTCAAGCGGGGAACATTGAACTATATGTGTATGCATGTTTCTTAAAACGTGTCTATTCAGACATTTCGTGTGTTCATGTGCAGGTTGGCCGGTCCACTAGTGATAGACTGAACGCTGTGAACGAGTACCACTCTCAAGTGATTTGGGCCGCGTTGCTTTGTAGAGCCGATAGTGGTTTGAAATTGCCGAGCTACAAACGCCGCACTTCCCAGTTATTGAGCGGCGGAGGCGCAAGTCATGCGCACAGGACACGCGGTTGTTTCATTTTGTCATCCGGTTACAGGGCTCCTTGCAACGCAACACTGGTGTTGTTTTTGTTGGGCGCATACGGTTTGTGACATGTCAACTTTGGGTGGTTGCAGGTCTCCATGTGAGCAACCATCCAAACACGGTTGGCAGAACAAAAATGTTAGCCACCTTCAACTTTCAAGATTTACAAATACCCACTGGCTACTCCAAAAACGATTCCCTACCAGAACATGAAGGATGAGTCTTGTCCAGCTATGTCCAAGTGTATTTGTTCGTAATTTGTTTATTCCATTTCCACGTTTAGTTTCTTGAATGGAAACGGAATAAACATGTGTTCATGACTTGCATGTTTTGCCTGTAGGAGGTCAAGGCTTTGCAGTCATTTCCCGTGGGGCCACAAGTCGGGGATGCCTCAAGCGAGACCCCTAGCGATGCGAACGCGAGTGATACCGATGCCCGATTGCCCTCTATCATGCCTGTATACCATTTACCGCTTGAACATAGGGTGGTTTGCAACCAACACAGATGCAGCAACAAATTGGTGAAGGTTCTTAGCTGCTTGCAAAGGTCTTCGAATGTTGGCTGAGTTTTGCTGTTCGTGCTCACGCATGCACCTGTTTGGTTGAAACTCGCCTTTACCAACTATCAGTGAGCGATGCCTCCCCTCCAAACTGAATTCTAAAGTTGTGCAAAACTGACGGAAGCGATGGGGCCCCTCCAAATCTGTGTGATGGCATGAGATTGGAAGGAGTTTTGACATCCGCACATGTCATGTCCGCATGATTTTGGATTGAACTTTTGATGTTGCAAAAGCCTAAACATGCAGATTGCGTGTCACGCCCCAGCTATGTGTCATCCACCATTTTGTTGACTTGAAATCATATTCAGGGACGCATGAAGGCATCTGGAGAGAAAGATTGTTGCGGTCTCCGCGTGAAACTGTCTCAGGTCAGGATGCCAGTGCAACCGTGCGAGCAGCTTGTCAGGTGACGTCGATGTTTTCAGGTCGGTGTTTTTAGCTGTTGGAGTCATAGCGATGCTCATGCCCAAACACACCACACCTGTTATTTGTTTGAAATTATTCCAGTGTGTCTGCCCCGTACCGTCCAGGTTGTGTTGCTGCATGTTGCTGCAGAAAATAAGAGATATTGGGTGATTGAACATTAAATCCCGCAGCATTTGTTGGGTGTTTAATTTAGTGAGTGTCACCCACAACACATGTAAGGCATACCAACAATCATTGATGCGATTTTGTTGCCTGCCTCGTCACCATATTTGGACGGCTAAAATGCCTCATATACCACATTTGATAGGAACAATGGTCCTATCACTTATCACGTGATCATTCTCTTTGGCTCATGTTCACCTGCGTACATCTTCAAAATCTTCAAAGCTTGTGACATAACCACTGTTTTTGCTTTGCTTTGGCAACATAGTGTTTCAAGTAGATCAAATATGCGCATGGAAAACAAGACGAACGATGCATATATCCTCAGACCCATGGGACGCGCAGGACTCGCGGTGCGGGGGGGAATGGCGGACGATTCGACACTTGTTCGTGAGGACCGTTGTGCTTGGCACCCAACACATGTGTCTCTTTTTTTGAGAGTGTGCATATTTGCGGTGGGTTGCGCCTCATTCATAGGTGCGAGGAGGGAGGGATAGCATGCATATTTGTGTATGTAAAACCCATTGAAAACTCTCATAGACCCTGAACATCACTGGTTTGTAGAGGAAAACCGTCTTTCTCGGGTTGCGTGCGTCCATGTGAGTTTTCGTCTACGCCATGGATGCAGAACCCCACCACAGCGCCGAAACCGTCCTAGAGTGCCGAAAGCACCTCGCGCTAACGGCGCCGTTCACGACAGATGAAGACGCCCCTCTTGCTGTGCGACTTGCCTCAAGAGTGGACGTGGGGCTCCCCGGACGGACGGAAGGATCACGGTTGGAAAGCCTTTTGTTACGACCGGGAAGAAGAACACACTGAGGTCCATAGTCCATCGCTTGGAGGTGATCAACTTTACAGCATATGTGGTGGCAGTGCTTGGGTTTTAGCATGTTTTGGAATGGAAGGTAAGGTCGTTTGATCATGGCTTTTGGTCCCAAACTCGGAAAAGACCATCATTTGATGGCGATTGCGTTGGACATCGAGTGACGAGATTGAACGTGTTTCGTGCAACAGATGCCTAGGCAATGATGATTTCAACGTGCAACACTTCGCTCCGCTGGAGTCTGGCCGCCCCTACCTACGGGTGTGTGTTGATGGCATTGACATGTCACTCCCTCCGTTTTGACTCAACGTGTCGACGCCTGGCCAACCTCGACAGACCTCGCATACTAACGCGATACGTTGACCTGCTTCAGGATTTGTTGATGGATGCGCAGGATCGATGAAAATCCTATGTCTCCACCGACGACCAATCCACACATTTTGTAGATCACGTCTGGTCAAGTTTCAGTATAACTATAGTGAATGGGTTCTGTTATAAGGTGTATTGTGTGTGCGGAATCATGTTTTCTTTTTTTTTTTTCAATGGAAGGTGCATGTTGCTTCTGAATATCAGCAGATGAGGCTGGATCGGCTCGTTGTGGCTGTTGCCGATGGATGCCATAAACCGTCAACGAAACCTTTGGATCCGTGTTGCTTCGGCAGTTACCGAGTTGGGACTCTGCAAGTAATATGAAAAGCCTCCAAAGCAATACAGAGTGACTAAAGAATCACCGCTTGAGTTTCTGTTCCCTAATTTCATGGAAGTCAATGTCCATTTTTTGTTTTTCTCCGGGAAACATGGAATTCTGACGGGCGTCCGTCCGCTTAGGCTTGGCAAAGTCATCCCAATCTACAATCGCGAGTGGGTCCGGACGCCCTGCGGTTGACGTGAGTTGGAACGTGGTTGGCGAACCGACCGAGATGAACGCCGTAGAGACAGGAACAACCTGGCCAGACCGTCCGTGACGGAAGAGCCTGTGCAAGGTTGAAAGCGGAAGAGCGGACAGAGGATCAGAAGAGGATCAAACGGCTTAGAAGGAGGAAGTACAGGGCCCAAGTCCCTGCTGTCCTGTTTCTTGCGCTGCTTCTTTTGCAGACTGGTCAATGACTATTTCTACCCCACTTGGGTTGCTCCTCCAACCTGCAAAAGAAGAAGACCAATTGGACCAAACCACTTGACTTCGATCACGTATGGTCGATGTGGAGGCCGTTGAGCCAGCGTTGCCACTGAAACGATGATGGTGACCACGTGGCAGAAGCGTGGTGACCATTTCGCATGTTCTACGGTACCGGTTCTCTAAACTCAGAGGGGTGTTTGTTTGGATACTTAAGGGTCTCAACCAAGGCTCTGCGGTGAAAACACTCGAAATGGGACTTGTTGGAGCAAAGCTCCCGGATTCGCTACAAAGTGCAGAACACACAAAGTGCAACAAAGGAAGGGTTGTATTTGTATTCTCCGGATCTTGTGTTTCTTTTGGATTTGCTTGTATGTGTAATTTTGATTTATTGGTTCTCCGGAGAAACAGCTTCTGCGTTTTTCTAATTCTCCATGTGTTCCACTTCATTGTGTTTGAGCTTGTTTGCTGCTGCGTCTTTTTCTGCTCTTTTGCGGCTGTTTCCGTTCTTGTTTCTTTTGCTGACTTCGCTTCTTTGCTGGTATCCAATGACTTACCATACCCGCCTGCACCTACCTATCCAGCCCTACCCAAGACTGCTCTCAGTGTCTTTACCTAAACACTGCTTGCAAACACTGGAAATGAGAGCCTCCCGACCTCGCATTGAAAGCGCAGGAAATGAGAGCCTTGTGCTACGACATTGCACAGCCCAAAATACTCTAAACAAACTGAAGCAATCTCAAAGCAACTCCGCACCTGTTTTGAGGCAACTTCACTATACCTGTAGCTGAGCAGATGGTGCACTGTGCGCACCCGGGTGCAAATCACCTCCGTACCGCGAATAGCGACTCGGAGGTGGAGGCGAAAGCTTCGCGCTTGGAGTTCCTGGAGAATTTGGAAAGCGCCCAAGCCTTCCTGGAGGCACCACTAGTCGTCGGTTGCGGGAGTGTTTGGTTACGCTCCTGTTGATTTGGTTGTCAATATGTCGACGTTGTAGTGAGTTTTTTGGATGTTTTTTTGTAACACATGCTGAGGGACTGAGGAACACTTGTTCTCCAAAGCCTTTCTTAGTGAGTGCTTTCCGTTTGGATACTTTGTGTTTTGCCTCCTTCTTTTTTGTTTACATTGACTCGAACAAACACAGTGGAGTGTGGAGCACTCATTTTCAGTATGGATTTTTGTGTCTTTTTAGAGGTGGTCTCAGAGGTCTCATGTGTTATCAACTCTAATTTCTATATTCATTGAAGAATTTGATTTGGATTTGCCCTTCAGCTCACCAAACTGAGGCTGAAGAGGCCATGATCCGTGAAGCCGTGATGACTGGACACGGAGGCGTCACCGGACAGGGCGAGCTGCCGCGCCGCGCGGCAGTCCGCGTGCACGTGACTGCCAGTGGTTTGGTTCAGAAAGCAAACAGAGGGACCATGTGGTGAAAAGGACAACTGAAACCTCAGGATGGTGAGTTGTGGAGTATCTTGTGGAGTATTCACACCTGAGGGTTGAATCCTTCCAAAGCAACTGTGTTGATGGGTGTTTTGACATGGAATTTGCTGGGTCAATCAATTCATCCTCACATCTCCTCACCCCAGGTGTTCCCCTTGTTTGGAGCGGACACGAGCAGCGAGCGTTGTTGCTCGACCTGAACAATGCCCCCCGCTGCACTCAGCAACACTTGCAGATTGTTACTGTAGATCAGTAGATCTTGTTAGACCGAGGGTGTGCCAGACTTTTGGCCCTTACGTTTGGCTATCAGAGAGAGAGAGAGAGAGAGAGAGACAGACGCGAACCTCCCACGGCCCAGGGGATTTGCCTTCGTTGGATTACGGCCTCGGCCTATGCCGCCGGGGGGCTCAAACTCTGGCATCTCCGGCGCGGGCCGGCCGGCCGTGAAGATCGAGGAACCCAAGCAGCCATTTTTTCAGGTGGATGTGTACCAAATATAGACACAGCAAGCCTTTGCGTGTCCGAAGTTGAAACCACCCAAGCAGTTCAGACTGAGGCATCCGTGTTTCAAATTAAACACTCAGCCAGTACTTGCTGAGTGAAAGTACGTCACATTTGAAGTGGTATTTCCACATCACATACGTCCATATTTTTGTAGAGCTCAACAGGAGGTTTTTGAGCTTAACCCATCCTTTAGTACATCATGTAACGTCGTAGGATGAGGAAGCAAACTTCTAAAACACGTTTAGCCTTCCGACAGTGACACCTTGGGTTAGAAGTTTCTTTTGAGAAACAGTTTCAGTTACACCTGGGAAGATTCACATTGAACCTGAACATGGACCTTTGGACGGCTATTTGAAGGCTTGCGCCTGACAGCGGGCGCCGGCCAGGTGGTGGAGGAAAGGGAAACTGAGGTTGTCGTTGTTTTCATGGTGGTTGTGGTTGTTGTTGTGGTTGTTGTGGCGGCGGCGGCAGTGGTGGTGGTCGTCGTCGTGGGTGTCGTCGTGGTTGCTGTTGTTGTGGATGTGGTTGATGAATAATGCAGACATGCATCCATCCACCCACCCACCCACCGAGCCAGCCATCCATCCATCCATCAAATCCATCCATCCATCCATCCATCCCATCCATCCATCCC